AATTAACCAGTGGAACATCTCCAGAAGTTCTGGGTGCTCCATCGCTGGAGGTTTTGAAGAAGAGACTGGACAACCATGTATCTGGAAGGGTATAGGGTCTCCTGCTTGAGCAGGGGATTGGACGAGAAGATCTCCACGGTCCCTTCCAAAACCGTTATTCTATAATCCCAGATCAATTAACCAGTGGAACATCTCCAGAGGTTCTGGGTGCTCCATCGCTGGAGGTTTTGAAGGAGAGACTAGACCACCATGTATCTGGAAGGGTATAGGGTCTCCTGCTTGAGCAGGGGGTCGGACGAGAAGATCTCCACGGTCCCTTCCAAAACCGTTATTCTATAATCCCAGATCAATTAACCAATGGAACATCTCCAAAAGTTCTGGGTGCTTCATCGCTGGAGGTTTTGAAGGAGAGACTAGACCACCATGTATCTGGAAGGGTATAGGGTCTCCTGCTTGAGCAGGGGATCAGACGAGAAGATCTCCACGGTCCCTTCCAACATCGTTACTCTATAATCCCCGATTAATTAACCAGTGGAACATCTCCAGAAGTTCTGGGTGCTCCATCGCTGGAGGTTTTGAAGGAGAGACTGGACCACCATGTATCTGGAAGGGTATAGGGTCTCCTGCTTGAGCAGGGGATTGGACGAGAAGATCTCCACGGTCCCTTCCAACATCGTTACTCTATAATCCCTGATTAATTAACCAGTGGAACATCTCCAGAGGTTGTGGGTGCTCCATCGCTGGAGGTTTTGAAGGAGAGACTGGACCACCGTGTATCTGGAAGGGTATAGGGTCTTGTGCTTGAGAAGGAGATTGGAGGAGAAGATCTCCACGGTCCCTTCCAACATCGTTACTCTATAATCCCTGATTAATTAACTGGTGGAACATCTCCAGAAGTTCTGGGTGCTCCATCGCTGGAGCTTTTCCTAGAAGAACTCTGTAATAACCCAAAGCCTCCCGATCCGCCTGTGTCTCAACCCTGCGTGGACTTCAACTCCCAGAATTCCCCAGCCAGCCTCCCGATCCGCGCTCCTCAATCTGGGCCACTTGGAAGACGGGCGGACTTCAACTCTCGCGTTGGCTGAGGGGGATTCTGGGAGCCGAAGTCCGCACGTCGTCAAGTTGAACCAGGTTTGGGCCACGCTCGTCTAGAGTTGGTCCACCGGCTTCGTCCCCCGTTGAGGCCGTTACCTCTCCGTTCTCCGGAGGGTCTCCGTTGCCGAAGGTGCTGGTGACCACCAGAACGAGGGTCTCGTGCTCCAAGGACACCACGTCGTATTCGTCGAGGCACATCACCTGTCGGGCGAGAGACGGAAACATGCACACTGGTGCACCAGCCGGCCACTTATGTGACCCGATGGCCAATAGGCTGCAGATCGGTAGCGGGCCATGGCCTGCAGGTTGGGGATTCCCTCTCTAAAGGTTCTCCTTGACCGACCAAACTTTTCCCGCAGCCATGGACGTGCAAGTCTTCTCTTTGTTTCTCCTCCTCCTCCTCCCCTCTTGTCCTCTCCTTCTCCTTTCTCCTTCTCCTTCTTTCTGCTTCTCCTTTCTCCTTCTCCTTTCTTCTCCTTCTTTCTCCTTCTCGTTTCTCCTCCTCCTCCCCTCTTGTCCTCCTTCTCCTTTTTCCTCCTTTCTCCTTCTCCTTTCTTCTTCTCCTTCTTTCTCCTTCTCCTTTCTTCTTCT